ACCCAATGCAAATGATCTTGGAGTAAATTACTCCCTTTGCCACCAGCGAATATATCTGGGTGCTCATAGTTTGTTGAATACAGTTCCTAATAAAAGAACAGGAGAGAGACCTGGTTTCTGGTGAGAGCGCAAAGACAGTCTTCAGTTATGTCAGGACTTCTGTTATTTATGTCCCACCTGGTTCTACAAGGGAGTCCAGGTGGCTTATGAAGGTGCATGAGATAGAAGATGATAAAGTACAAGAAGGGGGGGAAATGGGGCGGCATGAGGAGGGGGCAGGACCGGCGTCCCCAGGAGCGACACCCAGGGCTGGGCGCAGAGTTGGTCTGAGGTTTGCTCAGCAATCAAGCAGATAGTATGGTGAGCGGGGAGGAGGGGGGTCCCTGTATGCTCCCTGTCATAGTGGCTTACCCTGGCACGGTGCATTTGCTGCAGCAAGTCAAGTTCATAGTTTACGTCAGGGTCCCCTCTCAGCCCTGTGCATTCTGTGGGCTTGGACAAATGCGTCCTGCCCCGTGCCCACGGCAGTAGCATCCCTGACCCGGAAATGCTCCATGCTCTACTGTTTATCCCCCCTTAGCCCCTGGTGACCCCTGATCCTTTCACTGGCTCCACCATTTTGCCCTTTCTACAGTGTCCGAGAGCAGCAGTTCCACAGCACGCGGCCTTTTCAGATCGGCTTCTTTCCTTTGGCAATGTGCACCGACGGTGCCTCGGTCTGTGTCTTTCCACGGCTGGACAGGGCGTGTCTTTTTAGCGCTCTCTAATATTTCTCTGTCCGAGTGGTCGGCGGTTTAACCGTTCTGTCACTGAAGGACATGTTGGTTGTTTGCAGTTTTCGACAGTTAACAAATAAAGCTGCCGTAAACGTGACTGTTCGCATTTCTGCGTGGATGCAAGTTTTTCGCTTATTTGGGGGAAACAAGAAACTGCCAAGCTGTCTCCCAACGTGGCTGGAGCATTTTGCATCCTCCTGGGATGCTCAGAGTCCCCAGGGCTCCGCACAGAGGTCGGAGCGTGGCCATTCCGGGACACGTGACTGTGTGGTGGTATCTGATTGTTCCAACTTCCAGTCCCCTGATGGCATCTGGGGCGAGACATCTTCCTGTGCTTATGTGTCCTCTGTGCCTCTTTTGTGAGGTATCTATTTAGATCTTTTGTCCGCTTTTTAATTAGGTGTTTTCTTGTTGAGTTTTAAGAGTTTTCTGACTATTTGGATACTTGATCCCAGACTGGGGGCAGCAGCATTTTTACATTAAACTCATTACCCAAAGCAAGAGCCACAAGGGTTTTATTTTTCCTTTTCATTTTAGAACAGTTTTAGATTTACAGAATAATTGCAAGTTGTAGAGTTTCCGGATACCTTGTATCCAGTTCCCCGTTAGTACCTGCATATCTGTCACAGCTGCTGAGCTGATGTTAATACATTGTTATTAACTCAGTGGTACTTGCTTCAGACTGGCTTGGGTTTCTCCTAGTATTTTCCTGTTTCTGTTCCAGGATTTCATAGATGATCCCACAGGACATGCAGTTGCCTGTCTCCAAGGCCCCTCTCGGTGGTGACAGTTGCTCAGCCTTCTCTAGTGTTTGTTTGGTGACTGTGAGAGTTTCCAGGAAGGCTGGAAACATTTTGTAGGCCGCCCCTTTACTGGGATTTGTGTGCCGTTTATTCCCCCCACCCCCATGATTTGGGGCTGTGGGTTTGAGGGGAAAACCTCAGAGGTGAGGAGCCCTTCTCACCACATCCTACCATGGTCCAGACTGTCACCTGGACTCACGGCTTCTGATGTTGCCTGTGATCACCTGGTCGTGCCTGGCGGGTTGATCTGCCATAAAGTTGCTTGTTTTTTCCCTTTTCCAGGCTGTGCTCTCTGGGAGGAATCACCACGTGCTGCCCATGGCTGAGGGGCAGGGAGCTCTGGCCCCCCCAGAGGGCAGAGAGCTACACAAACTGGAATTTGGGGGATTTGTCCTTCCCCACACATATTTACTTACTCAGTTCTTTGTTGGGTCAGCAGGGACGGGTGGCTGTTGCTTCCGTCTGGACTGTAACCCAGCTCTTCTCTGCTTGTGTGCTTCCCTCCACCTTTAGTCGGGCAGACTCCCGTCATTTCCAGGGTCATCCCTTTTGATGAGGTTCTTTCCTATATTTGGGATGCAGCCTCGGTCTTTACTCACATTCTGGTTTCCGTCTGAGGATCCTCCTGTTCTCCAGAGTTAATATTTTCTAAGAAACCTGCGGGTGGTCCAGGGAGGAGCTGGTTGTTACTGTCATCAGTCACCGCCTCTCTCAAGTTCCTGGTTTCTGTGGCCTGTCGCTGTAGGTGCTCAGATACACCCAGGAACACGAGCACACTGCAGCCTGTCCTGCTCTGTGCCAGCTGGGTCACAGCGGCTGTCCCGCCTGCTGCTGCTCCTCCCACCGCCTGCCCTCCTGACTGCCGTATCCCAGTGTCAGGGCTGATGGCTGGGCCGGCGGCTCCTGTGTGCTTCCAGGAAATCCCACCTGCCTACCTTTGTGTTGGTACCTTTTGAAGCTCATCCCGGGCATGCCCCAGAACCCACATGCTTCAAGGCGGTCTCCAGCTGGGGGGTCTGTATGTCTCTGAGGTCATCTCCGAATATCACAGGTGTTTGTACTCCCGCAGTCATTCAGGAGTAGACTGGGAACACTTCTGAGCTTACAGGTGCTGGGGTTCTGATACAGTGTTAAAACTAAAGAAATTTAGAAATGCAAAAGCTGAGGACTATTCTTAAGAATTGTGGTGTGAGGTGGCTGCAGAGTTGCCGTGCTCATTACGGGAGTGATGACATATCACTGATGGCACAGAGAGGGCAGCCCTGCCATGACAGGGTCACTGACTGAACAGCATCTGTCTGGGTGGTGCCATTGGCCCAGACAGGGAGCCTCACTTGAATGTCCCCTTTGCCAATGTCCTGTCTGAGCTGAGGGGGCAGAGGGCTCCTCTGGCCAGAGGTGAATGTGGCCAGGCTGTGGCATCACTGGGAAGGGCTCTGGGTCCTTTGGGAAGGCTGTCATTGTCACTGGCCCTGGATGTCATCGAAGGGCTAAGTCTCCCTGTCCTGTGGGAGGACACAGCCACTAACCGAGTGGTGTGGTTCTCTCCACCTGCTCATCTGCCCAGCCTGGCCCTACCTGCCTGCCCCTGTCCACAGGGTGCGGCTCACCTGAAGGGGCTATACCTGCAAGTCAGAGGTCACGACTCAAGCCTCCATTCTGACCTTACCACTTGCCACTTGCTCTCTCTGAGGTGGTATTCTCGTTTATAAAATACTATTAAGTCAAGGTCATCAGCCGTGAAAAAGGAGCACAGTATAATTTAAAAAGAAGATCTTCTTTAGACCACCTAACTTTTGCACTGGTCATATGTGGAAAGCCAAATAAGAAAGAAAAATCCTCCTTGTTCTGAAGGCTCTCTTTACCCATCAGCATGCTTGTTAAGTCGCTGGAGGAGACTGGAACGTTCAGCGTCGATACTGGGGCTCTTGACAGTCCACGTTTTTAAAGTCATTGAGGATCAGTCGCTCCCCTCACCTGCCACGCTACCTGTGGTGGTCTTTTTGCTGTGGACGCTTGTGCCTCAGCCTGGGAAGTCGCTAGGGTGAGGTAGAGAGAGGGGGGCTGACCACGCTGGCCCTCCCTTCTCTGGTGGGTGGGACGGGCCCTCGAGTCTGCGTCCCTCTCTCTGCACACCTGCCCCACTCAGGCTCTGGCAGGTTCCCATCCCGTCTTCCTCCCAGCTCCCCCTCACCATGCTGTGCCTTCCTTGCTGTTTTGCTGTTTTCCATGCAAGAAACACCCCCCACTGTCGCCAGAGTCCCTTAGTTGTTCTGGAAAATCCCTATTTTTCTTTAAAACCCCTGCGTACGAGGGTCCTTGTCATGGGTACACAGCAGGACTGTGTGCAGTGGCATTCATGAGTGCCTGGGTCAGAGTTGGGGAAAACAGGCTGTGTGCTGTGAATCTCAGGAGAGAATATTAGGAGCTACGGTTCACAGACGTGTCCACATGTGACACCCTCGTCATAAGGAGCGGGGCAGACCTGAGAGTCACAGTGAGAGGTTGAGTTGCACAGTGGTTCCTACTGTGAATTTATAAAGCACTCAGAACAGTGCCCATTTGTGAATAAATAAGTGTCACAATTATAAACAGACAGGGGGGCATATTCAGCCCCTTCACACTTAGGGGAGGCAGGGTGAGTGTCGAAGGGGCTCGGCCACCCCGAGGCTTTTATTCTCAGCTGTGGTTGCAGATCCAGTGAGGTTTCTGGGTTCCAGGGGCCTTGGGTGCTGTCACTGTACTCTTGTTCCTTTCTGTAATGTGGAAACCTTTCCAATGAACCACACCGGGACTGTGCACCTTGCCCTGGTGGGCCCGTTAGGAAAATGAAGAGCAAAGAGAAAGACGTCTCATAACAAAGGCTGGTGTCCTCAGTGGCTGTCTGCGGCAGATGGGTCCCAGGTCATCTGCGCAGGGTGGGGCCCTTCTAAGCCCTTGTCCCGCACAGGCAGACCTCACCCTCCTTCCTCCCAGGTCATCCTGTGCGGTGTGGATGAGTGAAACTGGGCAGTTCCTGAGGACACAGACACTATGTCCAGTCCCTCTACTAAGATGTGGAGATTGAGTGAGGAAAGGCAGTATCTGCCTTGCAAATCTCTAATGAGGGCCTGAACCAATTGCTCCTTGTTCATCTGGAAAGGAGCATCCAGATGGCTCTGGGAGGATTCTGTACTCAGGGTGGAGGGAGCAGGGGAAGCCCCCTGGCTCGAAGCCTGAAACATAGTCCTGCTGACTCCCGGTCTCGGGGGCCGTTGTGATTTGCACATGACCCTACTGGGGTTTCCTGAGCCACACTGCCTACAGGGATTGTGAGAGCTGCAGTCTGTTCTTTAAAGCTTAAAATGGGGCCCAGTAAGTGGTGTGACTTGGTGCTTTCCCCTAAGTGTTCATTCTGAAGTATGTGTGTTTGGGTCCTCAGAGACCCCCCTGACCTTAGCTGCTCAGCTGGATGACTCCGTGGAGCTTATTAAGGCTCTCAGAAACGGTGGGGCTCACCTGGACTTCCGTGCCAAAGACGGGATGACCGCTCTGCACAAAGCTGCCCGAACAAGGAACCAAGTCGCCCTGAAGGTAAGTCCCAGAGCCTGGCTTATGTGGGTGACACCCCGGCCCTGTCTGGTCCACTGTGTCTGCTCCCATCCCCGTGGGGCCTGACCTCAAGGTTCCAGTCAGAGGAGGTTCCAGGTTCCCGGTTCCCCTGCCTGCTCTCCTTGGTTTCATTGATTTTATACTTTTTCAGTAACAAAAGTCTTTCCCCTTTTATTTCAAAGGGCTTGTATTTTCAATCCCCAAAGGCAGTGCTGAAACCCACACCCACCTAAAAGAGCAGGCTGCAAATACATCCCCCAGCTGACCCAGCCCTGCTCCCACCTCTGGGGCCTTGGAAGCCAGTCCGGGGTGGGGTGTCCTCCCTTCCGTCCTCCTGCGGTCCTCTAGTGTTTTTGTTCACCTCCCTGCCGTGTTTTGGAGGCATCTGCATAGGGTGGTGACTGCCCAAGCCCATTCTCCAGCAGATCCCAAGTGAGGCGGAGAGGGAAGCACCTCTCAGGTTGACCCCCAGTGGGGTGCTTCTCCCTAAAGTCTGAAACTTCTTGGCTTGACCTTGGCCGCACCTTTTCAGCTGGCTCCCTTAGAATCAGAGTGCTCATAACCCTGCTGGCGGGGTTCGCCACCCTCACAGTGCACGTCGGGAACATTTTCTGTTATGCATTTAGGTTGAACAGTACAACTTTTCTCTTTGCTTCAAGTGTCACCTTCAGTTAATTGCTGTTTGTGATATACCCCTGGGACAAAGGGGTCACCAGGCCACAGACCTGTGGGAGTGCCAGGTCTGGCGTGCAGTGTCCCCTCATCTCCTGAAAGTCACCATGTCCTGAGTGTTGGGGCACCATTTGCTGCTTCAGGCCTAGAAACTTGACTCTCTAGTTAGTATCTGCTTAATTCTGGGGACTCAGTAGGAGTACCAGGAGCCCGTGGCCACGGAGAGAGTGATCCTCATGCTTCTTTCTTAATGTCTTAATCTGGGCAAAAGGGGTCATAAGACCAGTGACCATAACTTTTGATTTTTTTTTTTTTCCTAGACCTTGTTAGAGCTTGGAGCATCCCCGGATTACAAAGACAGTTACGGTCTCACGCCCCTGTATCACACTGCCATCGTTGGGGGGGACCCCTACTGCTGCGAGCTCCTCCTGCATGAGCACGCCACTGTGTGCTGCAAGGACGAGAACGGCTGGCACGAGATCCACCAGGTGCGGCCCCGCCTGTGCCCCCTGAGAGCCAGCCCCTGTCCCCTGAGAACCAACTCCCCCGGCCTTTAGTCCCCTGCATGGGGTAGGGCAGTCTACAGGTCAGGCCCCACCCTACCCACAGTTTCTAAAAAAAAAAGTGAGTTGAAAAGTCATTAAAAACACCAATGTCAGCATTTTGAAGGGACATACTTGCACAGAGATATCTATTTCTGAGGACTCTGGAGAAATGGGCAGATTAGGCACGGTCCTTGCGTTCCCCACAGTGGGAGTCCTATTGGTCCGACCAATATTGGGTGTGAACCTGCTTCCTAGGAGCCCTGTTCTCTCCAGGTCCCCATCCTCCTGGGTCCCTTTCTGAGGGCAGGTGGCCCAGTGTGATGCCTGATTTCCACATTCCAGCCACATACTTTTCAGCATCCCTCACCTGCCGCCCCCAGTGGGTTAGGGGACTTGCCACCTACAGGCTTGGCCAGAAACACAACCTACCTGATGTCTCCAGTGAAACGTCTTATGGATCATGCCCAGGTGTGGGCAGACAACAGCAGTGGGGCGGAGATGGTGTTGGGGGAGGGGGGGAGGGAAGAAACACCCCCCTCTCTCCTCAGCTGAGCTCTGCCAGAGCTGCAGGTCAGCCAGGGAGCCCAGGGCTGCAACCCTGAGGTCAGGGTCTTTAGGCAGGGAGGGGAGAGATGGGTTCAGGAGAGCAGAAAGGACTATCCACCCAGGAGGTCAAAGGGCAATGCAGGCATGGGGAGGGGAGGGGCTGGACTGGAAGGGGCGAGGATAGAACTGGAAGGGGGAGGGGCTATAACAGAAGGGGCTGCTGAGGGGAGGTGGTGAAATGAGAATGGGAAGGGGTGGTTACATAACAGGAAATGGATGACCCCTAACAGGAAGAGGAGGGGCTGGACCCAGGTGGGCTGGGGGATTTGGGGTGTGTGTCTCTCTCTGAAATGGTTGCTTGCTGGGTCTTTATATGGTGACTGTCAATGGCTCTCAGGCATCCTGTGCTTTCTCTATGGTCACCTTACACCTCACTATGGCGCCATGGTCACCTTACACACCTGTCATGTCCTGGGGGGTTCATGCGCCCACCCTCTATGGTCAGAGTAGGCAATGGGGATGCCATGCCCCCCTGACCCTCCCTTTGCTGGGCCAGTTGGGGAAGCCAGTTCCTCCAGTGGTGTCAGTGGGGGGGTCTGTGAACCTGCTCAGGGTAGCCCCCAGCCCACATCCTGGTCAGAGACTTGGGGGAGTAGTAATGACCAACCCCAGAAGTCCTCTTCTGTGGACCCCACGTGGGATTCACTGTCATGCCTGTGCTTTCCTGTATGAAAAAGGAAAAATACCTTCCCCTGTGATGGTTAATTTTATGGGTCAACTTGGTCAGGCTGTGGCACCCAGATTTTTGATCAAACAGTATTCTAGATGTGGCTGTGAAGGTGTTTTTACAGATGGGATTAACATTTAAGCTAGTGGACTTCAAGGAGAGCAGGTAGATGCCCTCCGCAGTGTGGGTGGGCCAGCTGATGGCCCTGGGGGCAGGGCTGCGACCCCCCAGGAGGATGAAGGAATCCTGCTGACCTTAGCCTGGATGGGGCTGCAGCACCCACTCTTTCTGGGGCTCCAGCCAGCTCTGCAGGTTTCAGACTGACGGCCTCCATGATTATATGAGCCCATGCTTTAAAACATGTTTTTATTTTGAATTTAAATTTAAGGTTGAAATTTTAAAAATCTCTGTGTGTAGACGCACGGCCAGTTAGTTGTCTTTCCCCTGCACTTGAGCATAGAAGCAGCTGTGAGTCCCCGCAGGGTGCTGGGGAAGCTGCTGTGGTGGGAGAGCCTCACTCCCCTCCCTGGTGTTTCTGGGGCACGTTCCCCTCCCTGTCCCTGGCATCTGCCTGCTCCCCGTCCGAGTGGCCCTGCCATCCCTCTGCTCTTCCCAGACGTGTCTCTTCTGAGCTTTTCCACACTGTCTGCTGCTATCTCAGGGCTTCCAAGAGGTCTCCTGGTCTGACCACTGCCCACTTCTTTAGTAAATGAGATCAGACAATTAAATTCACAAACTCATCCTAGAAAAAGTGCTACACATCTCATAGCCAAATATCTCTGCGGCCACCTTTGATGTCCTCTGGGAAAGCTGTGAACAACAGCCCACTCCTAGTCCACCCTTCAAAGCAGTTTTGGAACTCCGCTTCTGGAATGGCCATCAGAGGTGTATGAGGTCTAACAATTAAGTTCATGAACTCATCCTAGAGAGTGGGCTTTGAAGGGTGGACTGGACACTGGCATCAGTGTACAGCTTCCCAAGGGGAGGACTTTGCGGGTGACCATGGTGATGTTCAGCAGTGAGGTCTGTACCACTTTTTCTAGGGCGAGTCTGTCGACTTAATTGTTTGGCCTTGTACATTTAGGCTGCACCACAGACCCTGTCTGCTTGCTGGTGGTCACTTAGCTGCGGTTGGCCTGCTGAGGGTGAGCATCTGCCACGTGTGTCAGTGTCCTGCACACCAGGATGCAGCCTGGAACAGACACACTCTGATGCGGGTGCCTGACGTGCTGTGCAGGGAAGCTGGATGTGAGACAGGGGTGACAAGCAATTCCACATGCGTGTGCACCCCACACGCGCGTGCCTGTGCTTGTACACAGGTCAACAGGTATGAAGTGTGCACGGGGACCAGGCAGGACAGCATCAATGGACAGTCATGTTTTCTGGGCAGGTGTTTCCACTCTAGGGCAGGGAAGGGGTGACCATGGCCCCGGTGGGGCCCAATCTCTCTGCTCATCTCCACTCCTGGTTACACTTGAGCATCAGTTCCTTCATGGTGGTTTAAAAGCCACGCTTGTCCTCATAGCGTGAACTTCAGCTCTTACGGAAGGTGTCAATGGGTCATTACTGAGGGATAATCCCAGCCATGTCAGTGTTGGCAGCCATGGGGGTGGGGGAGCATGTCAAGTTTCCAAGGTGCCCTGCTTATGAGGGGGCTGTGCCTGGGAGTCTCTAAGCTCTGGTGAGCTCCGCTGAAAAAATGGAGTGGGCTAATTTGAGATCAAGGACAAGCATAGGGTGCAGGCGGCCTGGGTGAGGTGGTGTGGTCATCGTGAGAATTGCCACCACAGGATATTGCTGGGTGACGTGGGAGGGGGTCATGGAGCCTCGAGCACCCATGTTCTTCTCCAGTCTGCTAGAGTCTCAGCTGATGGCACAGACCCAGCTGGGGAGTTCTGAGAAGACAGACTCGGGGGGCTCCTGCCTGTCTGCCAGGTGGAGAATTAGTTCTTAGGCAAATCCAACTGTGATAATCCTCAGGAACAGAGCTATCATTCAATGGCCCCTAAGAGGGCAGTCACTCACGTCATTGAGATAGAGTGGTCCCGGAAGAGGAGTGTTTAATTTCATGTTATCTTTAACGAATGAGCCCTTTTAGGGCACGTGACAGACGCTTTTTGTCATAGAAACAGTCGGTGTGAATAGGAACTGTCATCGCCCTACTTGAAAATGCCTGTTTCGTTAATTATTGTTTCTTGAGGTTCATCCGCCCTTTAAATGCTATCACTCTGTTCTGTCTTGTTTTTCTTTTGGACGCTCAAAGTATGGATGAGGTTAAAATGCCCTTGAATGTGGAATGGTTCACACAGCCCCCAGCCCTAAGCCAGGGTAGCCCTGGGTCTCAGCTTTGGGCAGTTCCTCTCTTTTCTCTTTGCCTTCTTTCCTTCCCCACCCTCAAACCGGGCAGCCGAGTCGCCCATCTCTCAGGAGGGCAGCCCTGTTGGTTCCTAGGGACCCCTGGCAGTCACTTAATGCAGCTCTCAGCCTTGATTTCTGGTCCCCAGGGATGTCAGGTTCCATCTGTGAGCTCCTGCACTTGGATTCAGAGCATCTCCACCCAGTGCCACCCTGTCCCCTCTGTCCCAGCCCGAGGTTCTGCATATGGACCTCAGAGGCACTAACCCCTGGGTCTTTGCATTCTGCTTCTCTCTCTTGTGGAAAACCATCCGGGGTTCACTGCCCTCTAGTGGTCTGTTTCTTTTTTGGACAAATCTGAGAAAGCCGGACTCCGTCCTGCTAAAGAATCTCGGTGGTCGGGCAGCGCCTGTGGCTCAAAGGAGTGGGGCATTGGCCCCATGTGCTGGAAGTGGAGGGTTCAAACCCAGCTCCGGCTAAAAACTGCAAATAAATAAATAAAGATTCCTTGTGGAATCTTTAAAAAAAAATCTCAGTGGTCCATGGGACGTGGCCTCACCTCCCTGCATCCTTCATCCTTCCCCGGCAGGGCCGCCATTTCTGTTAAATAAGGCAGTGAGTGGGGGGGTTCAGCGCAGGCTGGGCAGAGATGGCAGACAGGGCTGTCCTTCTGCGGGGTCCTCCTCATCACGCCTCGCTTCTACCCAGCTAAGTGCTGCCCGCGCTCCCCTGCCTGCACCATCTCTGTACATCCTCGGAGCACACCCAGCAGGGGACTTTTTGTTTCTGCTTCTCAGATGAGTTAACAGGCCCAGAGAGAGTGAGTAACCTGCCTGAGGCCACAGAGCGAGCTCCTCTCATACCTGAACCGTTCTGTATCCACTCCTCTAGGGTGTCCAACCCAAACCATCTTGACGTGACAATGCATTTGTGGCAGAAAGAAAGGCAGGGGCAGGTGGGTTTTGCAGGGACCTAGCTAGGCTGTTTCTTGCCCTGCACTCTGTGGAGAAGCACGTCTGAGTTCTCAGATTTATGTGTTCTGCTCTTAAAATCTGTCCCTCCCGTCCAGCACCAAGAAGTGGACAGCTCCTTCCCAGCCATCAGGCCACTCACTCTGCAGAGACCTGGGGCCTCCAGGTGGCTGCTGGTGGCTGTAGGTGCTGCAAGGTGGCCGGCCTGCTCTCTACGTTCTCTCAGTCACTGATGTCCTGCCGTCACCTGAGACCAGGTGCTTGTGGCATTTTACATCCAGCCCCTCCTGGCAGTGCCATGGGGAGGTATCCTGGCCTCTGGTGATTTATCAGAAGAACCCTTT